CAGTGTCTAAGGACATACTCCGTCTAGGAAGTACTGTTCTCTGCTTTCCTCTGAGCCCTCGTACCCCAGCTGCCTTCACAGACGAGAAGAGAACCTACCATAACAAGTACTGAAATTCTTTATGTGTCTAACACCCCCACTGGACCAGGAGTCCCTGTGATTTCTGAGTCCTCATCACTGACCACAGTGTCCAGCATATAGTGGGCACTCTATCAATGATTACTGAACAAATAAGGTATTTTGTTCATTAAATATCTTGGGTTAATAAATAGTTACCACATCAAACTCAGATGACCCATTTCCAAAGAACAAGAGTGTAATAAAATAGACCCTTATGGTAGATTATCACTTGACACTATTCACCCCTCTTCTCCACTTTCGTTGGAGAAGCATGCTTCCCTGACTCTTGATTCTGGGGCTCTGTGAAATGACCTGCCCTCTTCAGTTGGACATCAGCAGATGTGAAGCAATCAGGGGCTTGCAATGTGCTTGCACACTTGGGCTTCTGCTATTGCCACTAGAACCTACTCTGGCCAGCCTAAAGGTCCAAACAAATTTGAAACATAATCCAGACCCAGCTTGCTGCTTAGATAACCCCGCTGAGCTCAGCTGAGATTAGCTCACCCAGCAGACCTGCATAAGAGTCAGCAAGAAACATGTGCTTCTTACTTTATGCCTCTGACACTTGGGAGTTGTTTGTTACATAGCAAGAGCTGACAGATACAACCCTATACCAAAAGTCACCAACTATATTTTGTGATACTTTGATTAGGAAGGTGAGTCACAGACTCTGGTTTCATACTGCTTCTGACTCTCAGTTTCCTTGTCTGTGAAATCTGTAAAGTTGTTATGAGGATTGAATGAGATCATCCAAGAAAAACACTTAGTGCGGCCTCTGGCACATGGAAAGTGCTCAGCATGTGCTATTATTATTACTACTAAGTATTACTAATAGTAGTGATAATAATGTTATTATTAAGCTGTTTCTGGACCCTAGGTCCCTGCCTTAAACAGCAGTTACCATTGGGTGTGGAGCTATGCCAGTGAGTAGAAAGCTCCAAATACCAGCATGTCAAGAACAGAACAGGTACTATATACTGATGTAGGTAAGTCCTTCCAAAAGGCCCTAAACCGAACTTCCCCCTCTTCTGCCAAAGAGCTAAGGCGCCACTGCCTGTTTATTACAGTCAATGAACTGATGACACAGCTGTCCTGGAGGAGGTGGAATCAGCGTCCTCGTCGGGTGTCCTGCGGGGGAGAGGGGCTAAGACGTGGGTAAGAGTTTTAATCGGCTAACGCTCGGGCTGTGGCCGGCTGCCAGCAGAGCACTTAGCACATCTCCCTTCCCCTCCCATCTGTCTTCACTCCTCACAGACTCTTGATGCCACTGAATGCTAACAGGCAAAATGTGCATGATTTGAGAAGACCCAAAACGCAGAGGCGAGAACAGCAACCAAACAGAACCTGTCTCATGAGATCACTTCACCTCCACGCTTCGTCTACCCACAAACCTACCCCGGGCAGCTCATTTTTGTTCCCCAGGAGAGTCAACTATGAAAACCTCTCCATGCCCCACCCACCCCTAAGAAATATTAAGAATGATTTCCAAACTTAATCTAATTCATATCCTGTGATATTGTCGCAAAGAGCCATGTGCAGCTGTGGGCTCTGACAGTATCTCACCTGTAACTAATGTTCCACCTTCCAAACCCTTAGGAGCTGGGATAAATTCTGCAAATACTAGTGTTTTCCCACCCTCAGAGTATCAGGAATCTAGTGATGTCTGGCTGGGGATTGCAAGTATTTCTAGAGGCCTGACTGAATCTTAGAAAATAGAAAACAACCTAACCCGTGTTACATAATTGGGCCAGGAAAACATGTTTCCTATTAGAGAGGCAGCCAGCAATTTCCTAGGATTCAGACAGAGGTCTGAGCTGTTCACTTGGCTCTGGACCTGCTTAAGAATGACCACCTCTGACCCTCGCTGTATCTCCTTATCTGTGGAGCAGACACACGTTAAGCTGCCCTGTCTGTCACTGACATGCCTCTGTGTATATTGGACTATGTCTTCCCCTCTGGAGAGGATGAATAAATATTAAGCATGAGACTTACTGTGCTTCTTAGAGAGCTTGGGAAGATCAATAAAATGTTTCTAACACAAATAGGAAATGAAAATGAAAAGATATCAAGGTCCTCAGAAGCAGACCGGATCCATACAAAAGTACATTACCAGCCGTATAATCAAAAAGGCAGTCCCCTTAGAGTCTATCAGATCTGTCCACGCACTCAGTCAGTGCCGATTCCCAGGCGGCCTTGGGAGCAGGGCCCCCAGCCCCAGCCCATGGTCCCCCTGGCCTGGCTGGATACTGCCCTTCCGGCCTCTCTCAGCATTCATTTCCCGATGATGCAGTGATGAGTTAGAGGGAGGAGATGCTGCGGGCTGGTAGGACTCGTCCTGGTTGTGAACCTGGGCTGTGGAGGCACAGACTTGGTTCAAATTCTGCCTCCTCCACTTGACCTTGGGCACATTATACAACCTCTCTCGGTCCTAGGTTTTCCATCGGAAACGTATAGGCAGGAATCCCTCCATCAGAAGGTGGTCATGAGGGTTCGATGACCAGCGTATGTACAACACCCACGAGTGCCCAGCACGCAGCAAACACCCAGCAGAGTTTTGCTGGATGGCGGATGGGTGGTGGGAAAGCAGCAGAGCTGGCTTCATCCTGTGCAGCCCCACA